TAGCTCAGAAAATTGTTATTGAATATGTCAATGCTGTTTTAATGAAATGCTTCTTCTAAGTATGTGTTTATTAAATAAATAATTTTTAAAAATTAGGAATTACTGCCCTGCTTTTTCCATAAGACAACACAACAGAATCTTGATTATGTAATTCAGAAAATAAGTTATTTTTAAAAATATAACATTCAATTTGTCTCACTAAACATTAAAATAAACAGTATTTTTAAATGGGAGGTCAGTAATAGATGGGTCAGGTCTGAGCAGAAGTGTTGGAGATAAATAAGGACCTAGATAAAAATACAGGCTTTACACAAATATGTGTTTTCTGAACTAGAATTCCCTGTCTAGAATTCCCTGAACTATATAACAAAATTAGTACAAATTCAACAGAAAAATGCTCAAATTTCAACTAGGAAGATGGCCTGGAAGGAATGACTCAGCGATTACGAGTGCTTACTAATCTTCCAGAGGACCAGAGTTCAGTTCCCAGCACCACACTGGGTGGCTCACAACCACCTGTGACTCCAGTCCTGTTCTGAACTCCAAGTACACCTACACTCATATGTACACACTTACATATACACATAATTTAAAAATAATAAAAGTAAGTCTTTTCAGCTAGGACGATAACCTGGTGATTTAGAAATTTCCTATTATAACACACAAAACAAAGTAGGAAAACTTAAGTCAGATTTTAAAACACATCCTTAGTCAACTGCCCTTTCTAGTTAATACAAATTTCTTTTTTGCTGCTTCATGAACAAAATCAACCAGAAATGGGAGCAAGAACTGTCCTGGAGCACAAACCTAATGTTCTAGGTCTAGCTCCTAAAGCAACCCTACTAGTCTACTCAGTCAGCATATGGGAAAAGAAGCACTGAGGACATGCTACAAATGGACATGGGTTCCGCTTTCCCAGTGTAACAGGAACAGCTTTAGGGCTTTATAAGCAGAATTCTGGTGCACATATGGTCTTGAGAAAAAACTGTGTACAAAATTTAAAAATAGAGTTTATA